GTGAAGTTTTATTTCGTAGAGCATTACAGGCATTAGGTTTATGGCAGTGAAGCATAGCTTTTGTAGCCATGAAATGAGACGACACTTTGCGAATATCAATTGACATATAAAGTAAAGCAATGCAATAGATATATAACTCATACCATATATACAGTAGAGTACAGAATAAGTCGATATGAAGCACAAAATCGACAAAAGCTGCTCATTCTATACGATTCTGGGAATGCTTCACAACTATTGCAAACTTTTGCTGCAATCGATTCCGAATCCCATCCCATCCTCAGGAAACCATTCGAGCCTTACTTGTGTTGTGTTATGTGTTGGATGTGTGCTCTTCACAAATGTGTGCTCACTCTTTGCTTTTCAATCTCTCTCTCTCTCTCTCTCTCTCTCTCATCCCTTGTCATCGCCTCATCGCTACTATGACTGNTCTCTCTCTCTCTCTCTCTCTCTCCATCTCCATCTCCCACTCTCTTTTTGTCACTATAGCAAAGCTATTGAACGGCAATAGCAGTGGCATTAAGTTGTAAGAGTTTGAAATTGCAAACGAGCGGTATATCAATGTTGTGTACATTATTAAAAAGCGAATCGCCTCTGCCTTCCAGACACTCAACTGCCAACACATGAGAGATAATAACAGTTATATTTTCGATATAGTTTTGACTCTTTAAATAATTAAGTATTCAATTGAGTCTAAAATCACTATATTTTTACTACACTTATAGTATACAAGTTTTCATTTATTATGTTTTTTGGCTTATTTTTATTGCCAACAAAATAAATCAGAAAATCTATAAGAATTCAATTACTGCTGAAAAATAGCAATTCATACAAAATTCACTTCTTATTGATGTGTTATATCTATAGTTAATAATAAAACTTTAAATGATTAGCAAAAGTATGAGAAGTTATATATTGTATACAGAATGTGACCCAATATCGTGACTAAACTGCGAAAACCTGCAAACCATCATTGGCTCTCTCTCTCTCTCTCTCTCTCTCTCTCTCTCTCTCTCTCTCACCTATGATTGATGTGCTTTTTTGCTGATAATAATGTAATCAAAAAACCATATTTCTAGAGATAAATTCTGGGAAAGTCTTAACCATTCATTTATTTTGTAATTTAATTGATTTCATGGTTTCTATGAACATAACACGAAAGCTATTAAAATGTTTTAATTGTTTATCGAGTTTTAATAATAATAGTAGAAAATAAGTCATATTTCGCTTAAAACTAATAATCATTTATTCAAAATCTAAAAGCATTTCAGACTTAATTAGTGAAGAGTTTTAATGACTAAAAGAATATATTTATCATTTAAATGATGATTATATTAAACATATAGTAAAACATTACCAAATTCTTGATTACTTTTTATATCGCTCTCTATTTGTACAGCAATTGAAACAATTATTTAATACGAGAAAAATGATAAACACTATTCTAAGAGAGCATAAAACTTATTATGAAATGTGAATCCATTTCATCGCATCTGAACAATGGTTGACAATTGGGATGAGAGGGAAGTGCGGTAAAGAAGAGATAGTGTGTCGGCTCGCAGTCATAGTAGCGATGAGGCGATGACAAGGGATGAGAGAGAGAGAGAGAGAGAGAGAGAGAGAGAGAGAGACGTTTTACTTGTTCAACAAATTTAGCTCTCGTTGAACGTTATATAAGCTGTATTTCGCATACTTTTCTGTATATTCTGTATATATTGTGAACATAACGTATCGATCGTGTTATGCATACAGACATTCACTATACGACTCCAAAAGCATTCAAATCTAACAGTTTTTCAAACGCCAGATCACAACTGAAAACAAGATAATGTAATGCCAGGCCATGTATTGCACGCGTCTAATAGCAATAGTTGGCCATCAGTTGATGGAAAATAGGGATAGAGATGCAGACAATAGCAGTAAAAGTTGCCTCAAATGTTTAGTATCTGTGAAATGCGAGTTTGGGTTTCGCTATATTCTCTATATATTACTCTCTCGTATCTGAAATGTTGCAAATGTTGTGCTCTAACTGTCACTAACTCTGGATTAGAGATGACTTCAAAAGTAATGCTTACTTTGAAATTCACGCTCTGATGCAAAATGAAACGCCAGAGGGATATATGAAAACACATGAATAAGGAATCCATCAAATAAGCCATACTTTTCCCCCTCAACCAAAAACTTTTACAACAACCACTAGTTTTGTGCCAAAAACTCCACTCTATTCTAATGCAATGTATTAACCATTATATAAACCGTTCAAAAAGCAGTCCCTCTTTCCATAAAGTGATGTTTGAAATCCAATTCAATGTTTGAAACCTTTTTGTTCGCCAATAAAGACGCGAATCAGTGAATGACTGCTAAACAATATTCTCATCGAAATAATGAGGCAAAAGAGAGGTTTAATAACATTTCGCTTGCAATGGATTGTTATCTGAGTTGATGTCTGCGTCCAACTGCTAATGTCTGGTCTGTTGAACACACTCTGCATCGCATCCCTGTTCACAGCCTTCACTTTACTCTACAAACTCCGCTAATTATTGCCTCTCTCTCTCTCTCTCTCTCTCTCTCTCTCTCTCTCTCTCATCTGCTGAATTCGCAGCCAAAATAAAGTTAATATTCTATGAATTTAACTCATCTTCACTTAAATGACTAAAACTTGAATTAAAATTTAATAAATCACTGCTTTTTGTTGAATACAATTATTTGCGGAGCCAAACAAATCATTACTCTATGTACTGGACTATTGCCATAATTTTACAGATTATATGCATTATTATTACTGCTATTCATTGAAAATATGCAATTCCTTGGATTCTTAATAAAATAAAAACTATTAATGTATTGAAAACTTTGATTGCAGCCTATTTTATTGTAGTTTGCAAAATAAGACTTTCGCTATTTATTCACAATTTCTAATATTGAATCAACAGTATTTTAATTTATTATATAACTATCTCAATTGATGATAAAAATTAACAATAAATTATGGTGGAAAGTCAACAAGTACATTTAGAGATTGAATTATTCTAGAGTTTACAACTTTTGGATAATAAACTTTATATGACTTGAAGAGAAAATTCATTACAATAAGTGTTCATTAAAGTCATCGCAGTTTTGTGTATTGAGAGCAGAGTTTTGAAGCAACGCTAAAATAATGGGAGGTTTTGTTTGAATCCATATAAATATGAAGAGAATGGCTGTGTATTTGAAACAAGGAATTGTGAAAATAGTTTGAAAACAATTTCAATCTCATGTTATTTAACTTCATTTAATGAATACATGACTAAACTATACGATTATTATTGAGTAGAAAAGGAAAATATTTAGCGCTAATAAAATGCAGTTCACATCACAACACATGCCTTAACACAATCGCTTAATTGGTTTTGATGTCAAACTTAGTTAATAAAACCAAAACTTAATTTTTCTCATTTTTTCTTATATCAAAGAAAGAGGTGGAGTTGTATTAACCCAATTAAAGTCATTAATGGCCGCACCTCTGCCTCGGATCCAATTATGGCTTAAATTATCAATTAATTACAATTGATTCCAATCGGTAATCGATACCATTTTATCATCATATCTGTCATCGAGTATTCAAACGCCTTATGGCTTGAATCGAAAGCAGACAGACTTGTGATGGAAAGTAATATAAATTACATAATTATTGCACAAACTATAACAGTATGTGCGGAGGCTTTCATTGAAAATGCATTGAATGTCAGCTTCTGGTCGACAACTAAACCAATTGGAAGACACATTAGCTGTGAAGCAATGCATTTCGTGCACAAACTAATTGATATCTATTTTGTTATTTTGTTTGCAAAGTTTTTTCTTCTCTCTCTTTTGCCTTTTAATAAACTGAAGCCAAGGATTGATTATGTTTTAGTGGGGAATGGCTTAGACTCTGTGCACCGATTCTGTGATTCTGTAGTATTTTGCTGTATTGGCGGTCATTTAGTTGACATAAATCTCTATCACTTAACGCACAGCTAATGTTTGTCACAAAACTCTAATTCTGAGCCAAAAATACATTAAACATTGAACTGACTTAACAAACGCTATGCAAACAAGTATACGATCATCGGTTCCGACATTCAAACTTAATTGACATATATTTCCCAAACGTAGACAAAAAGAGCCAAACATTTTTTGATTTACTCAACGTTTAAATATTAGCTTAAATTCATTGCAAACATCATTTAATTTTTCAAAAACAATTGCTCGCAAACTATTTCTCTTTATATTAAACTTGTCTCTCATATCATATAATTATTGAACAAAAAAAGTAAATTTAATTATTTAAACATTACATGAATGTAAAGGTAATTACTTTAATAGCTTTGTTGGCCTTTCCAACTATAGGCCCCAACTTTCACCTGAAATTATTAGTTTTATAAATGTTTTTTAGATTCATTTCAGAAATTCATGGATCGCGTGAGTCGTCACAGCATTTGATCGCTCTTTTCATTCAATAGTTCATTCAAACTCTGGAGAGAGAGAGAGAGAGAGAGAGAGAGGGCTGGGAAGATCAGTAATCCATACCTAACTTCGTCAGGTAATGGTAAATATATATCACATTTAATATTATGAATGAATCGACTGTTCGTTAAACGATATTCATATGAAAGACACGAAAAGATGGGAAAATTATTTCAAACGCTATAAAATATTTTATGCATTGAAAGTAAAGATTTTATTTTTAGAGTTTTAAATCATGAGAAATGTTATTAATAGTTATTTTGATTCAAGAATACATATAATTTGTTGTTAACAGCAATAAGAAAGCGATTATTGATTGAATAGAGCGGTTGAGGCTATGAATCGATATTACATTAAACCAACAAATAGAGGAAAACCAACCGATTATCACAGGCTATGACCGAAGTGTCGACATCTCATGAATTCATACAATCGTTGAATATATTTTAAATCGTAATCAAATTTATTGAAATTTATTGAAAATCATTTATAACTTTCGTATAAATAAAACTAATCTCTTGTAAAACACGATTGGAGTATAAAAATCATTGTTTAAAAAAGTGTTTAAAATAATGACTAAAATAAAAGTAACTATTGTTTGGGGAAAGTAGTGACTGAGCCGTCGTTTTGGCCAAAGTATACCCGCGATGTCATACCAATGAAGAGTCCCGTCTCTACCACTCCTGTAATCATTTTGATATTAGTGTTCAGTTCAGACCAATACTTGATATCCCTTTTCTCATTCCCAACTTTGGCCGGAAATATCCAATCAATTATAAAGTTTCCGTTATCTGTAACCACTGGACCCGCTTTGGCTTTAGCCATACGAAGAACAGCTGTTCCTTTATAGGACTTCTCGATCTTATCGATCACAACCTTATAAGCCATTGGAATCACTTCAATGGGCAGTCCTTTTGTCCACTTTTGTCCCAAATCTAACGATTCTTTGGTATAATCGGCGACAATAATCAACTCTTTGGAAGCGCTCGCAACTATCTTCTCCTGAGTGAGCGCTGCGCCGCCGCCTTTGATCAGCACGAGAGACTCCACGTCTACCTCATCGGCGCCATCAATGGTAACATCCAATTGCGGGCATTCCTCTAAATCGCTTAGACGTAAGCCATTGTCGCGAATCAATTGCTTTGACTACAAGTGAGATACACTCGTCAACACAGGGATCAAGTGGTGGTGATGTATACCTGGAAAGATGTGGGAACACAGATCACGTCGAGACCCTTCTGCGCGATCCTCTGGACGGCGAACACTATAGTACTTCCGGAACCGATTCCCACTTTAAGACCATTCTGTAAGACATCCGCTCGTGTTATGCAATGGCATCCAAATGGAGAGACAATAGCGAAGACAAACCTTGAGATGATTGTCGACGGCCTTAANCAATAAAGACGCGAATCAGTGAATGACTGCTAAACAATATTCTCATCGAAATAATGAGGCAAAAGAGAGGTTTAATAACATTTCGCTTGCAATGGATTGTTATCTGAGTTGATGTCTGCGTCCAACTCCTAATGTCTGGTCTGTTGAACACACTCTGCATCGCATCCCTGTTCACAGCCTTCACTTTATGGCACAAACTCCGCTAATTATTGCCTCTCTCTCTCTCTCTCTCTCTCATCTGCTGAATTCGCAGCCAAAATAAAGTTAATATTCTATGAGTTTAACTCATCTTCACTTAAATGACTAAAACTTGAATTAAAATTTAATAAATCACTGCTTTTTGTTGAATACAATTATTTGCGGAGCCAATCAAATCATTACTCTATGTACTGGACTATTGCCATAATTTTATAGATTATATGCATTATTATTACTGCTATTCATTGAAATCATTGAAAATATGCAATTCCTTGGATTCTTAATAAAATAATAACTATTAATGTATTGAAAACTTTGATTGTAGTCTATTTTATTGTAGTTTGCAAAATAAGACTTTCGCTATTTATTCACAATTTCTAATATTGAATCAAAAGTATTTTAATTTATTATATAAATATCTCAATTGATGATAAAAATTAACAATAAATTATGGCGGAAAGTCAACAAGTACATTTAGAGATTGAATTATTCTATAGAGTTTACAACTTTCGGATAATAAACTTTATATTACTTGAAGAGAAAATTCATTACAATAAGTGTTCATTAAAGTCATCGCAGTTTTGTGTATTGAGAGCAGAGTTTTGAAGCAACGCTAAAATAATGGGAGGTTTTGTTTGAATCCATATAAATATGAAG